AGCAAAGAGCTTGTGCAATTTATTGATTACAAAGGCAAGGGGATTCACTGCATAAAGTAGGTGAATGGGCATGCTTTGCAACACATATGATATCAACATTGTCCTACATCCAATGGACAAAAGCTTTCCCTTCCAAGATTGTAATTTATCAAGAACCTTATTTATAAGTCCTTGATAGTAGTTCATCTTTATTCTTGCATAAAAAATTGGACATCCCAAATAAGTGAATGGGAAATCTTGCCTCTCAATTCCTGTGATCCTTTCAACCTTCCTTACTACATCTTCATTAGTCAAATGATGCATCTACAGTGTAGATTAAGCCTTATTTATGAGCTGCCCGGATGCTACTTCATATGCTACCAAAACTTCCATAATCAATTGAAGTGAAGTTGCATATGATAGAGAAAATATAATAGTGTCATCTGTATATGCCAAATGATTGATCTTGGGACTCCACTTAAACCAAACCCACAAAAGTAGAGATTCAAATGAAGAGCATTTAATCCCCTAGACTAGGCCTCAGCTGTTAGGATAAAGAGTGTAGGTGACAAAGGATCACCTTGCTTGACACCTCTATTAGACTTGAAAAATCCATGAGGTTGCCCATTGACAAGCACAAAATACCAATTATTGGAGATCATTCCAAACACTAATCCAAGTAAAAAGTAAAAAATAAATAAAGGTTGATAATTTAGTTAATAAGAAGCATTCAAGTCTTTATTATGTGTCCTATTCCATAGCGTTTCGCATCGTCTAAAGAACTTCAATTTCCAGCCTAAGGGCATGTGAGAGTTGAGGCGAGTTAGAATGTTGCCAATGTAGACTAGGGTGTTCAAAATCGAACCGAAACCGAAGCTTAATGGCTTATTGGTATCGGTTTAACAGACGGAGAACGAATTAAAATTTTTTCATTAACGGCNAAGCTGAACGAATATGGGCAGCATAGAATGTCTTGTGTCAACAGTTCAGACATTCTTCGAACTGTAAGGAACGCGCTAAACAAATATCCCCACTTTTCTCTGGATGGCAAAGATGCCATGTACCAGTCCTCTTTCCATGATGCGTCTCCTTTGCTAACCACAACGTTGGTGCAAGAAAATCAGTATAGATTGAATTAGGCCGATAAACTGCTCGATAACCGCCCGATAAGAGCTAAATCGATACCAATCCGCCCGATATCTTATCGGGTGGCTAGCGGATTAATACATTTAAAAGCCGATAACCAATAAGCCAAATCGTTAAGAGTAAATAACCGCTCAATCCACCCGATAAGCAGCCCTAATGTAGACATACAAATATAGTAATATACATAGTTAGGGTAAAAAAATATTTTTTACACTATCAAGTCATTTTAATAAGATACCCCTTTTACATACCCTTTTCTTGCCTAGCATGTGCTCCTAATTCTCACAGTGTTACTCTAGGGGTTACAAACTGGTTAAAAGAAAACACTTAACCACCTATATTATCTACTAAAAAATGGATTGGATTATGAACTTTTTAAAAACGGGTCAAATATGGATAAGAATCATATTAGCCATTTAGAAAATAAAAATGGGTAACCAATGGGTCTAACTTTTACATTTGTAAAGCCTCAAATTGGGGGTTACTCAAGTGAGGGAGACTAAGAATTCTCACAAAGGTGATCATATGCAAGAAGTCATGGATAATATTGTTACTCATATTATTCGCCGGTTAACCCTTTTTTATCCGTATTAATGGGTCGGGTCGGATGATTTATCTGTTTTTTCATTACCCGTTTTCGACCCGAACCATATCCGACCCGACCTGACCCGCCCCACCCGTTTGCCACTCTTACTCCAGAAACAAGTGAATTTCAGGGCATATTATATTCTAGCAACAGGGCGAATGCGAACTACCTAAAGCGCAGAGCTGATTTCACTAAGTCGATCGCGGAATAGTAGCATCAAGGGTAGACACGGAGCTAGGTTTGGCAGAACCCAGTCAATTTTGTTTAAACACTTTATTTGTATTAAAAATTTATTAAATATTTAATTACAAACCCAGTAACTAAGACGAACTGTGAGTTCCATTGACAATTTCAAGACCCATAAACTTCAAATGTTGGTTTCGAGGGGACAATTTTTGATTTTTGGGGATAACAACAATGCTCTTTTAGAACACATTAAAATTTATTGTACCAGTTTTTATTAAGTGAATTATAGTTTTAAAAGGTCTTTTAAAACAGATGTGTCATGATCTGCTAATCGGCTGTTCAAAAGATGTGTCCTTCTCCATTTTTTTTATGTTGGATTCCTTACTTAAAAGATGATGACATTTTGAAAAGATGGTAGCATCATACAAAAGATGTTTGCTTTGTACAAAAGAAAAATGTTTTTATGCATGCCTTACGGTTTTCACTTCCATATGTAAGAAACTATACGACAGTTGATCAAAGTAAATCAACATTTACTTGATAAGCATACAGTTGACTGGAGGACACTATTAGCCTGTTTGGTCGAGCTTCCTAAGAGAAAAAACAGTGCTTTTTTTTCCAAAAGCATTTTTTTTTAAATTTGAGGTGTTTGACCAAGCTTATTTGGAAAAAAAAGTGCGTTTGGGAAGAAGCAGAGGCAGTTTCAGAGAAGCAGAAAAAAGTAGCTTCTTTCCAAAAGCAGAAGCAGAAGCAGTTTTGGCTTTTCTTCTTACCTAAAATACCCTTAACAAAATATAGTATATACCAAAATAACCCTTAAACCTAATACTTAGGATATTAATTTATAAATATTTCTTCTTATTTTTAGGAAACTTTTCTAATATACAATGACTTCAGGGGTGAATGCTTTTATATTTGTTGAAGGAATTTTAATATATTTAACTTATATTAAAAGAATTAAGTACTTTTTAATTTTATTTTCATATTTTACTTAAATAAAATGAATTTTTTTAATTATTGCATGTAATAACAAAATTTTGATATTATTTATTTACTTATAATATTAATTATTAAGTAAATCTATTCATGTCTTTATTCGTAATTTGACACTTAAAAGCACTTTCTAAAAAGCTTGGCCAAACACAAATTATTTTTCAAAAGTGCTTTTCAGACTGATTAGCCAAACACAAACCGCTTCTCTCCAAAAGTACTTTTTTCAAAAGCACTTTTGAAAAAAACACTTCTCAAAATAAGCTGATTTCTCCAGCTTGGCCAAACAAGCTATATATCGCCTTAACTATTCTCTCCGTACATTAATTGTTTTAGAGCCCGTTTGGACATTAGAAATTTTTTCTTTTTTTTTTGGGAAATTTTTTCACTTTTTTCCGAAATCAGCGTTTGTTCATAAAATTTTCAATTTTCACTTGAATATGCATTTTGAAATTTTTCGAAAATTTGAAAAACTCCAAAAAGTTGTTTTTGAAAATTTTCACTCAGATCACTCACAAAACTTCAAAAATAACCCAAAAATTATATTCATGTCCAAACACAACTTTGTTAGGCTTTTAAGCTTGGTGTAGCTTAAAGAGGGTGAATGAGAAATAGAGGAAAAATGAAATATTTGAGTTTCCCTCCTTGGCAAAGGGACATTGTTCCATATTGGAGGAAGAAAAGGCTTTTGATGGATATATATACAATTGCTCTTCTTCTAGCTCTTACAGAGTTAAGAAAAAGGTAAGCCTCCCGCCGTTGTCGCCATCGCTCGGCTCGGCTTCGGCTTCGGTCAAAGATTTTTGACCGATTGATTAATCTTTTTAGACAAAATTCCTTTCAATTATTTAATTAATTAACGAAAATTCAATTCGGTTCATTTTCTTTCCCGAATTATTTTAAATCCGTTTTCTGTTTTCCCACAATATTTCTTCCCACCTGTTCCAACAACTATGACTGTTTCTGAAAGGTTGCAAACCTTTTCAGAAACAATGCCAAATAGTCTATAAATATGCCTTGAATCCCAAAATCTTTACGTACTAAATTTTCTGATTATCTTCTTCTTCTTCTTCTTCTTCTTCTGCACAATATTTTCCAGTGTGTTTTATGACCATTGAGTGGTTCGAAGTTCACCGGAGTTTTTGGTACCAATACACTGGTGAGTAAAATCGCTCTATCCTGGGAGGATATATTCCAACACCTCAGGTACTTGAGGGGAGTAATTTCCTTAAGGACACACTGTGTATTCAATGGGGCTCAATTTATTCCTATATTGTTTTCCAGAATTTATTTCGTCAAACTGGTTCTACTAACTTTCTATTTCTGTTTCTATTTCAGAAAATTTAATGTTTTTATTGGTTATTACAGCAATATAAATTGAATAACAAACTCTAATTTCCAAATACCATTTTCACTTGAAATTTGTTTTCACTTTTTTCTGCAATTTTACAATTCTTATGTCCAAATGCCGACGTCATTTTAGAAAAGCAATAAACAGAAAATTTTGCACGCTAATTGGGTAGTGATCACAAAGAGGCAACCTTAGATATCCAATATCGCTTTTCCTTCCGGCGAGAGAAATACAAAGCGCAAACTCTAATCCATACACTTGGATTTTACTAAACGTTGCAAATTACAACACATCTTATTTTTTGGAATTCGAATTATATTAGAGGCAATTCAAACTCTTGGGCTACCCACTAATATGTACCACTGATCTAGTAAATAATGAGAAAGTGAGCTCCCATGCACTTGTAGATGACGTGAGCGTAGCAAATACAGTAATGGGTTTGGAGCGCGGGTTCAATTCAAACGCTAGTTTTTTCTACTCGAATCATATAATAAATCAACCACAATTATTTTGAATTCATTAAATATAATTCTGAATTCGCTTTTAAGAAATGGTGCTAGAGAACGGCATTTGTATCCGAAGAAGTGAGCGTGCAAGGGCTCAAAAGAGAGGAACACCATGCAAAAGAAGAAGGCGACAGAGGGAAGCTGCCCAGAGGACTACTGCATGCTCCAGAAATAGTATTATCTGATGGAATACGGGGTCTAACATGTCTTTCTTCTGCTTCACTACTTGACTCATTAATTGCCTCAGCAGTTGATATCAATTTTGGAGGAGGAAGGAGGAAGGAAACTCTTTCAATTGCCCAGCAGTATTGTTGTTACTTGTTAATGAGGTTGGTGAGAGATCAAGAGGAGGAGGTGCGACCTGTTGAAGACATAATTAATTAGTTAAATTCAACATGATATCAAAGTAGGCAGAGGCCGCTGCTTCAATTCCCCTAATAAAAAGAGTAAGTTGAGGGCCCTGTCGGAGATATAATTAATTAATTAAAAAGTGTATTTTCTCTAACAACTTAATATTTTAGATGAGATGGTCACATAATTCAACATTACCTCTTGTAAACGCCTAGAGCTGAAGCCAGAGGGGGAATTGGAGTGGGATTGAAATTCAGGTGCTGCGGTTAGCATTTGGACAACTTCTCTGAAATTAACAGCTTCCACCCTATAGATTTTAGGGGGAATTGGTAGAGATGGAGCTATGGGTTTCTTGGTGATTGGTTTTGATGGAAGGCTGCGAACTCTACGGAGAGAAGAATTATATGGTTTTTCTTTCTTTTCTTCTTGTGGATGAACAGCAAAAGAACTTGAACTAGAGAAAGAAGAAGAATACATTTTATATGAATATGACTCCATTTTGGCTATATATGTTTACCTAAGTTCGAACTTTTGTGAGAAATATAATATTTATATTAACTGGAAAGCTTGTTAATTAAGAAGAATATATATCTCTGTCTTTTGAGTCCTTGTATATATAGAGAAGGAACCTGAAAGAGAGAAGATATTAAAATAATTAGTTGAGGCTTGAGGGGAATGAATTGATAGGATCGAGCATCGAATGGTATTAACGTGAAGTTTGTCTTGAGCGTCGGCTATGGCTGAAGCTGAAAACATTAACATAACTTATAATGTCCAGTTCACAAGTTTGACTTCATCTAAAATTTTGCTTCCATTATTATTTGTCTGATCAGTAACTGAATTCGGTGTATTATTGTTTCAACTTTTTTCTGTTCTTTCAAATATCTTGGAGTTGTTTAGTGGCGGCGTTTGCTGCCAGGTTACCATGTGTTCTCGGTCTATTCCTTGTCTCCCTTCTTGATGGAACAATATCCGTACCCACACGTTGCGTAAAGAATATTACGAAGGATTGCATATAGGCGTTCGTAACACGCAGCGGAAGACAATAACAATCTTAGGCAGATCTTTTCGTGTTTAAAATTTATTTACATGTCAATAGATCGGATCGAAGACGTACCTGGTGAAGAAAGTCTCATTTTAAATTCTTCGATAGTGCGAAGACTCCATGCGTATCTATACCGAGACTGATCCTTGCTATCAACTCTTTGCCCAATGAAACCCGCGAACAAATTGAACGAATAATATAGTGTTGAAATTTTTCTCAAAAATCTCAACTCAAATTAGAAGAACAAGAAACACTTTTCTTGTAATTGTATTTTCTCTCTTGGCTTTGTATTGCACTCTCACTTTAACAAAGTGAGTTTTCTTCTCAAGGAAAAATTATGCGGCAAATTTTCTTCATCACCCTTTATATAGCATCACCTACAAACCCTTTTCTTATTTGGTTGAGGTAATGATTTACTTAAGTAAAAAGTTTATTCCAAAAATAAACTTATCGAAAAATTAGAATCCCATCTTAATGGGAAGATGCCGACACGTCCTTACGGACTTTCACGTGAATGCTGCTAGCGTCCAATTCCAAATTGGACTTTTGGTAAAATTACCAATCCCATTTCTTATGGGTTTGAAGTCAACTTTCACGTCAATCCAATTAAGAATTGGGTTGATCAAATTAAATTTTTCATTAATATTATATATAAATATTTGTTATATTTATCAACCAAGAGATATAATTTAATTTTTTATTTTAAATAGAAAACTTCAATTTGTTCACAATATTAATTATATTCTCTGTGCTAGCAAAGAATATAATAATATTTCATTTGGACTAATAATTTATTTATTTGACTAATTAAATTCTATAATATAATTATCAAATAAAAAAATAATTAATCCTTTAACAAAGATCAGAACACTCGTTAGTGTGCGACCCCATAGGTTCAATACTAAGCCGGTAGCAAATTGATCACATCAATATACTAATCAAGGGTGGCGTCTAGCAACACTCCTTAACGATCGGATAAAATGAAGTATACAATTTACTCTCAAGAACCAGTAGAAGAATAATGTAGTAATTCCTTCTGTCCTTATAGCTCTGGATCACCCTAGGATATGGTTCAACTGTCAAATCCTAATAGGCGACCAACTATGTGTTCATGTCAAATATAATCGACCATTGAATGACCTAAGAAACTCTTTTCTTCTTTCATTCAATCGCCCTGGCCAAGGTCTTAATTTGGTCGGTTATAATTCATAACAAGATGGAGCTTAAACTCATTACCAAGAGCTGACAGATTCCATCTTGATCAATCACTGATTCTACAAGTATGTAATCGTACCCAATATCCTTTCAACTATCGCCGTAGGGCCATAGGTGTCTAATGTCAAAGCACAATAAATAACTTGTCAATTACTATGATGATATCAGGTCAAAGGAAACTCTTACATCACATTCTTCAAGAGAATATCCTATTGACAGTTTATGGTAATTCTAACCATTAGGAATTATCCAATGAGTCGGTTCAATGATCATATCTCTATATGCATCATCTATCTATGTAATTTAGTTAATGAGATCAACTAATCTTTATCCCATAAAGACGATCACATAAATATTGATCTAACGAGATTACTAATGTCCAAATTAATAATCCTACGATCAAGAACAAATTTAGATTAAATTATAAGAAACTTTACTCTCATTATCATGATCTCCATCACAATGTCGAGTCTCAAAATTTAATCAAGGACCTTATCAAATTAATCAAGCAATTAATAACAATGATAAAAGAATATCAAATGCCATACATATTTTATATCAAATAACGTTCACAAAAATATGTTCAAATCATCAAATATGATATTGGATCTAGGGCATATCTACTATATCCCTAACATATTAAATATAATTTATCATAAAAAAAATGTTACTTGAAAAATACGGTAGACATAAAAGAAGCATGAAAGGATTCCATTTTTTTATTGGCTCGTTATATATATCGAAATCTTTTTGCTCTTCATATTTATGTATACGGTGGACACTCATGGTATGTTTCAAACAAAAGACAAAAGAATTTATCAAGAATAAGTATAGCAGAATGATTTTATTTTAAACTCAATTAACGGATAGGTTCTTTAGATGTCAATGCAAGTAATTAAATTCAATATATATATATTATCTTTGCAATCTTCCCACATCAATTGTATCCATTTTCAAATACCTTATACTAATAATGGAAAAAGGGCAAAAACAAAAGGGACGCTTAAATAGATATATTTTGGTACTTCGTTTGATAAAGGAGAATATCATGCACAAAAGTAGTAGTAAAATTTAAAATCAGAAGAATCTCAAAGTCTTATCCTCCGTCATCTTAGACAAAAGTTTGTCCTTGAATCGATCTTTGTTACATATGGTTATTACCTTGTAGTTATTCTATAGTAGTCATGCGATATCACTCAACTTTTGACTAGCGTTTTATTCACCTTTGTTCTACATTTCTTGTATTTACAACTTGGACTATTGTAATATAATAGACTATCCTTTCTTTAGCCAAAATAAAATAAAATTGGACTAATGTATGGTCCGATATAACAATGGTACAGTACAACTGTCACTCTGTTTTATGCTCTAAACATATATATATATCTAATTAACCAGAAAAGAATGCTAAATGTCTTATAAATTGAGAGATTAACAAATTGGAAACTATTTCTGTAATTGACGATAAATAGGGCCAGAGACAGTCTATTAAGCTAAGTTTGTTAATAGTAGAGGAACTTCAATAAGGTGGAACCGTGCAACGAACCGTCAAACAGTCTATTCAGATCGACGGGGCACTTACAAACTCCATTTTCAAACTTCGAGATATTTAAATACCATAATTCAACCTGTGGACTAAATCAAACAAAATCATTTTCCTTGACATATTAAAGACAGAATTCTTCTAGAACTATCATCCTGAATTGTTGGCTGGCGCCAATTTGCTGTCCATGTTAAGGCTGTTATTGTGGTCCGGTCCAGGGCCTAAATGGGCTAAACGGGCCGGGCCAAACGGTTCCGGGCTTTGGCGGGTCAGTCTCTGGCGGTTCCGGGCCAAATGGTCCCCGGCCTAACTGTCCTGGAGGGTGGAACCGGCCCACTGCAGGCCTAAGCCCACTTGGTCCCGGCTAAATGGTCCGGGCCCACGGGGCCTAAACAGGCCTAAGTGTTTCGGGTTATTTTTTTTTGATTTTTTTTATCTAAGGCAATTTCTTGTAAATATTAGATGTATTTGTCATATTTACCATTTATTTTGTGTTTAAATTTGAATTAGAAGATTTAAGTCACAATTATATAAGGCGATATACTATATATATATATAGTATATCGCCTTATATAATTGTGACTTAAATCTTCTAATTCAAATTTAAACACAAAATAAATGGTAAATATGACAAATACATCTAACATGAAAAATATTACTAAATGCAGGATTTAGTGTAGTTGTAAGCAACCGTATAGCATTAGTGTTACTAGAAGCATTATCCATTGAAATTGACATTATTTTATCTCTAATGCAAAAATATTTACAAATATCTGCAACTATGTTCGCAATAAACTTACCTGTGTGACGTGAATTAATTATTCTATAAGCAATAATGCGCTGTTGCATTTTGCATTCCTCATCAATCCAATGAGTGGTAACAGTAAGATAATCACAGTCATTACCACTTCTACCAATATTAGTAGTAATAGCAACGCGATAATTTATATGAGTAAATAAATAGTGCAAATATTGTTCATATTCATGTTTATATTTGTAAATAGGCAAAATACATAAGTTGTCACCTGACCTATTGCCCAAATCCCCTTTACACACTTTCTATGGACGATAATAATATTACACACGCAAACTTTTTAAACTGTATCTAGTACACACCTCTTTTGACCAGGTCCCATAAAAAGTTCATTCGTGTATTTCACGTGTTTGACTTTTGTTTATAAACTTAAAAATAAAAATATAAAATATAAAATTACAAATATGTCCTCATCTTCTTCAACTCATACCTGCAACACCATTATAGAGCAGGTTTTAAAATGGAGACAACCAAGAACATTCTACCAAAATATTCCTTGCCATCAAATATGGTCATTAAGCTATAAGACAACTTTTTGAAATCATTACTCCCATTTGATTTAAAATTACAGATGCAAAACCAAATCGTGGAGGAAATTCAATCAAAAGTTGACGGAATTACGTTACTAGTTAGGTTTTTCCAATGAAGTCAACACGGCCGGATCAACCTGACCCACCCACTCTTTAGGTTCGCTTTCTTCAAAAAACACCACCGGTTCACCTCGCCGGTCACTCGAAACGCCGACACCAGTGTAATTTCCTCGCTCGATATCCCTTTTCTCTCGCATCCAGTTCCTTCCTCCCTGCTGTCGAGCTAGAACTCGAACTACCTGTTCTCTTGTGTGACTACCAGAATTTATCCGACGACGTCGAGTCCAATGT